ATAGAGTAAAATGATGTATGTTCCGGTCAGTTCTTGTGTGTTGTGGACAAAGATAATATTTTAGAAATTACATAATGCAATAATTTTTTTCCATCGATCGCAAAAGTAACTTGTTGACGAATTTTAATTACATCCCTATCTTCTTAACATCATATTCTAAATATATATGCATCATAATTATATTATCCATTCAACATATTAATATATTAGCCATAAACAATGAAAGACTTGCAAGCTTCCATTAGTTCAATTAGATTCACTAAATTTATCCTAATTGTTGAATCCAATAGTTGTGCGAATGATATGTAGCATGAAATAACAAAATGGTTTACATTATTTTTTGAGGCAATTTTAGATTTATTATATTTTTGTAGAAGTTACGATAGTACTCACTTAACAATGTTAATTTTTATAATATAATTTATTCGATTGCTCTATGAAATTATATTTGAAACCAATAAGCTAAAGAGTATCATATTTTATCCAAATTTGAAAATGTTGAACTAAACTAATTTACCCTTAAATTTAGTATCAACCTCCTTAAAGTATGGACAGTTGAAAAAGTCTTCAAATTAAATTATATCTATTATTTTTTTAATTATTTAAATCCCTGAAAAAATATATAGTATATTTATTCAGTCAAATTCTACATAAAAAAAAAAAGTAGGAAAACAAGTAATTTACTTACTCAATATTTGCGTTGGAGCGACACCATAATAATATATTCTGTAAACCATATTACATTGAAATAAACAACATATTTTATAACAGTATATCATTTGCCTCTTCACGTGACGACTATTGGACAAATGTATCTTTTTTTAAGTTTCAACGCATACAAGTCATATTGTAGATACGCGCATAGACGAAAATTTTCCGTGCAAAAAAAAAAAAGCAAAAAAAAAAAAAACAAAGTGTTCGTCAAATATGCAATACATTCACTATTGCTGCAATAAAAATGGGTACAAAAATGGCAGTAAAATTGACCCCAATAATAGAAGAACATATTCAGAGAGGATGTTGCCGCTTAGTAGTCATATATAAACATAATATATATAACATAGTCCATTATTTAAACCTGATCAATACATCATAACTATGCAATATATAAATCATAAAATGAAATATATCATAACTATACGTGCAACATCCCTATCTGCAACTTACATCATTTATATCAGATGTATATATCATGTCTATTGAAGTTATATATCATATTTAGAAACATAATGGTGAAAAAATATATCTAACATAGTCCATCATTTAAATCTGATCAATATTTTATAACTATGCAATATATAAATCATAAATATGAACGATAATATAAAATAAAAGTGTGTACAATAAGGTTTACTATCGTCAGTCTATCATAAGTTAAACAACATATGTATCATGAATATACATCCTATGTGTCCGCAGACCAGCAAAAAGACTTTTAGGAACAACTGTGCTGATTTTTATTTTTTTTTCTAAAAGAGACTAATCAAGAATGCATATATACACATAATCACCATAAAAAATTATGCAGTATTGAAATTACAACCACCAAATTTGTTCGTCGCCAATCAGCCTTCCTCTCTCCCTCCCCTAGCACGATAGGGGAATCGAGAGCGGAGGTGGCAAACATGTTTGACGGCGGTTGGCGCGGATAGAGATGTCGTCGTCAACTACGGAGGTGTAAATAGAAGGGGAATCGAGGGCGGAGGCAGCTAGCATGTTAGACGACGTTGGTCGCGGCTAGAGATGTCTTCGGTGGTGGTTGTCAACTGCAGAGGTATAAATATAAGGGAAATCGAGGGTGGACGTGGCTAACGTGTTTGACGGCGGTAGGCACGCTAGAGATGTCATCATCGGTGGTCGCGGAATGTGGTGGTTGACGTAGGCAAGACAATGAGAGGAGGAAGGAAGTCACTGCATGGTAAATTTAGGGTTGGTAAATAAATTTTGGGTGGTAAGTAAATCTTCTTATTTAGGAACATACAGTTCAATTTATCCCGTATAATTAATAATTTGCGAGTTAAGAGAATACATCATAATACATTTATTTTGACATCATTTGAGTAGATTATATATGAAGGGCATTTCACGATAAAACGTCATAATAATATTATAGAAACATAATTTGTGATACTCTATGCATCATTCTATTTTGAATGTGTACATTTCGGAATTAATTATTTGCAAATATTTTTTTTTTTATTTTATTTAGGATTAAACTTAATCCTGAATATATCGGAAGTAGTTGATATAATTTTTTCTAATTGATTTTTTCCTTATATAAAGATCCTTAATTATTTTTTTTTAATTACCAACACTCCTCAATAAACTCACCCGTTTTTGGATTTTCAATCAAAAAATCCAACCGGTTAAAAATAAAATCAGAATTCTTGTGAATTTTGTATCGCATGAAAAGGATACCAAAATTCTTAGAAAACATGTGCACACATAACCAATATCACGTGAATTTCATGTAACTTCTTAAACACAATAAAATCTACCATTTATTTTTTGACACATACACATATATATATATATATAAATATATATATATCTTAAGACTATGAAAATATACTATCTATCAATTTGCTTTTGAAGTGTAGAACTTTGAATATTTATATTGTATTCATACATAGTACAAATTAAATGAAAAAAAATATTTACATTAGTGTTGTATAATACAAATGTAATGACATTTGTATAAAATATTAAAAATATAATGATATTTCTAAAGTTAAATACAATAACGTAAAAAAACAAATGAATGTTTTGTTAAGAGATGGAAGTAATATTTTATTATATGAAAATACATGTATTAATAAGACATTAAGACATTATATAATTTTTTTATTTAATTTGCACGGTTTTTCTTTATAGAATCGCCGTTGCCGACGTGTACATGACCGGCGCAGATGTGTACCACGATGTGTCATTTTTCCGGCGGCTGACGTGGAATTTGTTTAAAAAATAAAATAAATTAAATTAATATTACTTTTTTTTTTTAATCTATTTTGGCCCGATTTGACCAAAATGCAAAACACATATTTAAAATTTGGTCCAATTGAACCAAATTACAAATAACACAAAATTAAAAACATTACAAAAATATGTTATTTGCAATTTGGTTCAATTTTACCAAATTGCAAATATGTATTTGCATTTTGGTCCAATCGGGCCAAATTAGAAAAAAAATTAATTGTAATTTAATTTATTTTATTTTTTAAACAAATTCCACGTCAGCCGCCGGGAAAATGACACGTCGTGGTACACGTCTGCGCCGGCCATGTACACATCGGCAATGACGATTCCACGTCTGCGCACGTGCCCGGCATGTGACGTTTTCCGGTACCGGAGGACATAAATAAGGCATTCGTAACACTTACTATTCTATTTTGCGAAACCGAAAAAAGGTGTCTAAAAATAATAATTTGGGATACATAATGGTAATTTTTAAATTTTTCCTTCAATATATATAACTAACAAAATACCTCTAACTTTTATGAAAATATTCATTTCGTTTTTATTTGTAAAGACAAAAATATAAAAATTATCTTAAATATTTCTACTAACCACTACAATAATATTATTATTTTATCTACTACAATAAACTAATGATATATTGAGTTAGGATCGAGAGAATATAATTTTTTTATTCATAAAATATGGTATCAAAGTACTACTTAAACTAAAATTTAAATAAAAAATTAAAATTTAAACATAAACCAAACTAACCTAAAGGTACTCCAAGGTAGGTTTAATTATATACAATTATATAATAAATATAAATTTAGTTATATATCAATTTATATTTAGTTATATTTTTGTAGAATAAAAAGTATGATTATTTAATAAATATAAATTGGTAAAAATTATCATAGGATATGGACGACAAAGATAAGTGATTAGATATTAGTCAGTAATCTTTTCAATAAACATGTTATTATTGTTAAATGACACAATCAATCCTATAACCTAATCGTACACTCTAAAGAAAGCATTTCAGTATGCATCAACATTAACATCTCTTTCAATCACTACAAGAAAAAATTATTTTTGTAACAGTTTTTATTTATTTATTTATTTATTTTTAAATCTACTTTTTGCGTTACTAATGACATTAGAGATGAAATTAAGAATGAAATTACGTTAGCTACGTGAACTTTAGGGACGGAATTCCGTTACAAATATATTATTTTTTTGTAGTGAATGTTGATCTTTTTGGATTATGGATAATAAATGAAATATAATAAAGTATGATTCTTTTTGAATTTTACAATGTATTGTAAGATTTACATATATTTTTTTAATTAATTAGTGGGATAAGTTTCATTAAACTAATGTTCCTATTGTATCATGATAATTGTAACTAATATCCTTTTTTCTTATTAGTATAATTTTTGTTTAATATGCTTAAAAAAAGTTACGATGATATTAACTTGTTAGCAATGAGTAAAGTTTTATGTCCGACCAAAGAAGGAGGAATATTGTATTACTAATTAGAAAGAACACATTTTGCATCCAAAGTTATTATTATTTTAATTTCTTTTTTGTTTAATTGCTGGAGATACTCTTGTATTTGTTAGAACTTGCATTGATGATAATAAATTGTTACTATGGTACACGGTCTGCGTAAAAATTTTTGTTACATTGACCAACTTCTTCCCTACCTTATGGTTATGGTGTGACCAATTCGTTGGTTATGATATGATCCTTAGGATATTAATTTATATGATCTCCGATAATCGAAAATTTTATTTTACATATATGATCGATTTTAATCTTTATTCTATGATTTTCAATATGACTAAAATTGAATAATGTGATATACAATCAAACCAAAAATATTTTTTACCTAAAATAATATCATTTAAATATTAACAAAATATTATTTTAAAATAAGAAATATCTTATATTTTAATTAAGCATACATGTATTTAATCTATAACTCATCTATAAATAGAAGCCATGTTGCATGTTATCATCGTATATTACAAGTCTCAAGAATGAGTACAAAAGATGTTCTTCGTCCAGTGACCAACTTCTCCTCTACCTTGTGGGGTGACCAATTCCTACGTTACGAATTTGACCCTCAGGTAATTTCTATGGTCTCCTAAAATAAAAAAAAAAAATTATTTTCAATCTATACTCGATTTTCATATTATTCTATAATTATGCACGGTCTTTATATTTCAATTCTCCAAATTATTGTATGTTTGCTTTTTAAGTTCTGAATCTTCCATTCATTAAGTTTTGATCTTCGAACTTGGCATGACAAAAGATAAAATATGATAAAATACAAGATAAAAATACAACCATACAAAATTATATAATAAAAATATGATAAAATTTCTTGTAACTCACATGTTGTTTTGAATGTCTTTTCCATCATTAGTTTAAAATATGTGCAACCTTCCATCGTGTTTAAGGAAGTATTGTACAGATTCACCAACTATCTAAACTTAATGGATTGGCAGAAACTATTGTTGTTCGACTACTAAAGTTTGGAATTTTTTTTTCAATGTTTTTGAAAATACATGAAAAAGTTATACAATGAATGTAATGGTCCGTAGGCCATTTAAACCATAAAGAATTTATGAGAATTTGCTTTAAAACAAAATTTACTACATATATACAAAGTGAATAACTTTATATGTATATTCACACCATATATCCATGACATGCTTGTGATATATTTTGTAAATAAAGAGCGCGATTGTAACTCATTACTCCCTCACAGTCCGTCTCTAAAGGTCTCATTTACATTTTCTGTCATTATATTTAACATTAAAAATATCTTCATATTTATATAATTTTTTTTTTTTGTACAAATGTCCTTTTATTAGTATTATAAGACATTAATACAAGTATTTTTACAGTTTTTTTTTTAATTTGTATTATATTTTCATATAATAATTAATATAAAAAATTAAGAAGGAAAAGTAAATGGGACACTTAGAGCCGGACGGAGCTAATATATTTTAGTGTAGTAAGAAATCAAGTATCATTTGCTTGATTTGTAGTTCATCAAAGCTTTAACTTTACTAAGAATAAACTCAAAACTAGTATAAAAAAGTCCTGAACTTTAAAATCCTAAATCTGTTATACAATCATTATTATTAGCTTTTTTCCTATACAATCATTATTTATAATCTATAATTCACAAAATATCAGCTTCAAAGTACTATTAAAAGAAAAAAAAATTGAAACTAAATTCCAAAAGGATACACGTTTGAGAATTAAATCCTATAGAGCAAAACCTTAGATGAAATGATCACAATTATATAAAATTCATTTTATAATAAAATGTAATACAAAATTTATAATAAAACCTAAACTATACTTTAACATTTACAACTTATTTTAAATTCATTTTCTTTTTGTTTAAGTCAGTTTCTCAAACAAAAAGGGAAAATAGCAACTTGTTTATTATTATTATTGACATGAAATTTTTTATTGTATTTAGGCTTGTGAATTTGTTATAAAGTATAATCAATGGGTCTTTTATTATTAATCATTATTTTTGGGCATAGATTATGAAAGAATATGCCAACGAGGTTAAGATGTTGAAGAATACAGTGAGGAATCAAATAACAGATCAAGATATGGGAATGATGGATGCTATGAATCTCATTGATACACTCGAACACCTAGGCATAGCATATCATTTTGAAAATGAAATTTCAGAGAAATTACGAGAAATTTATGACCTCCTCGATACCGACAAATATTGTGATCTCTACACAACTGCTCTTCATTTTCGGATACTCAGGCAGCATGGGTATCATATATCTTGCGGTATGTATATATGTTGGGTTAGAATTAAATATCACCATAATTCCAGCTATTTAATTTAATTTGAATGCGCAGATATTTTTCTCAAATGGTTGGATGGTAATGGAAAATTCCAGGAGTCCATTAAGAATGATATAAGGGGTTTGTTAGCCTTGTATGAAGCAACACATCTGAGAATACATGGAGAAAGCATATTAGATTATGCACATGTTTATACTAGGACCGGTTTAAAAAATGTGGAACAAAGTCTCCATCAATCACCCCTAGAGAAACAAGTCGAGCACGCGTTAGTGCAAGCCCTACACTTGGGCTGTCCAAGAATCGAAGCACGATTCTTCATCTCCATCTATGAAGAGGAGGTTGAACACCGGAATGAGTCATTGTTAAACTTGGCCAAATTTGACTATAATTTACTTCAAATATTACACAAGAAAGAGCTTCAAGAATTGTCACGGTAAACTTATCAATTATTTGCATTTTTACTATGAATAAACTCTCAAACTATGTTACTCGTATTTTTCGGTGTAGGTGGTGGAAAGAATTGAATCTAATATCAAAACACAAATATGCCAAGGACAGATTAGTTGAATGCTATTTTTGGGCTGCAGGAGTGTACTATGAACCCGAATATTCGCGCGGACGTATTATGCTTACAAAACTTATGATCATTATATCAATAACAGATGATACGTATGATGCTTATGGCACGCTTGAAGAGCTACAAGCTTTCACAAAAGCAATAGAAAGGTAAAATTCTGAATCATGTGTTTGTGAGAGAGAATGGAAGGGATATACTACTTACTAGTTCATTTCATTTAAGTTTTTTAAAATTAATTATTGTTTTATTCATTAGATGGGATATTGGGGAGATTGTTAAACTCCCAAATTACATGAGAGAATTCTATAAAACTACTCTAGAGCTCTATCAAGAATTTGAAGATGAGCTAAGCAGTGAAGGAAGGTCCTACGCAATAAAATACGCCATCGATGCTGTATGATGATATCGCACTTAATTTCCTCTTTTTCTTACGATTCCTTGGTATAAAATGTTTCAATTAAATTTGACATATATGTAATAACTTCAATGTAGCACAAGGAATTGGTAAGAAACTACTATACTGAGGCCAAGTGGTTCATGCAAGGAATATATCCAACCTTTGAGGACTATCTTAGCAACTTTCATATTACTTACACCTATTTTTATCACACCATGGTGTCACTGTTGGGAATGAAATCTGTGACAGAGAAGGTATTTGAGTACCTACACCAGAAACCTAATATGATTGTTGCTAGCGGTATCAATTGCTGGCTCATGGATGATATCACTAGTTAGAAGGTACAAGTGAAAAGTTATATTATGCCAATATGTCTAAATACATTAATTTGATTATTTGTTAACATATATATTGTAGGGTAAACTGTTTTTTTAGTCTCGTAACTGGACCCCTTTATCATTTTAGTCCCGTAAGTAGAGCCTATTTGCAAACTAGTTCCATAAGTGAAAAAATTTCGTTGTTTTAGTCCTCCGCCGCCGGAGACGCCCGCGTGGCACGCCGGAGGTGACGTGTCCGCCAGGTCAGCGACACCTGGCTGACACGTGGATTTTTTTTCATTTTTATTAATTTTTAAAATTTTTTTAATTGGACCAAATAAAAAATTACAAATAAAATTAAAAAAACAAGTTTTATAAAAAATTTAAGAAAATAAAAAAATCCACGTGTCCGCCAGGTCAGCGACACCTGGCGGACACATCACCTCCGGCGAGCCACGCGAGCATCTCCGGCGCCGGAGAACTAAAACAGCGAAAACTTCTCACTTATGGGACTAGTTTGCGACAGGCTCTACTTACAGGACTAAAATGATAAGGGGGTCCAGTTACGGAACTAAAAAAAACAGTTTACCCTATGTTGTATTAGGTTGAGAAGGAAAGAGGTCAAGTTGTGATGGGCATCGATACCTTCGTGAAAGATAATACTGGGACTAAAGAAGAAGCGGTGACTAAACTTCATGAAATGGCAAAAAAATGCTTAGAAGGATATAAATGAGGAGTTTTTAAAATCATATTTCCATTGGAAAAATATGGTAGAGCGTGTTATGAATGTTTCTCGATTTCTCTATAGCAGTACATAGTTTGACAAATATTTTGAATTTAAAATTATTACTTGAAAGAAAAGTTCGTATAAAACGAGAAATACATTACGGAAGAATCACAACTTCAGTAATGGATTATCTTAATTCAATATATATATAATATCAAAGTTATGTTTTATTAATAAATAAAATAATATTATTATTTAATCTACTATAATAGAAAATAATATATTGAATTAGAATTGAGAAAATATACTATTTTTATTCATAAAATATAGTATCAAAATACTACTTGAACTAAAATATAAATAAAAATTAACGTTGAAACACAAACCAAACAAACCTAAATTTACTCCAATGTAGGTTCAATTAAATACGACTATATAATAAATATAAATTTTTTTATATATCAATTGATAGTTAGTTATAATTTTAATAGAATAAGAAATACTCCCTAAATTTTGTTATATATCAATTGATAGTTAGTTATAATTTTCATAGAATAAGAAATACTCCCTCTCCTTTTGTTAGCTATAATTATGTTTGATTTTTTTTTTTAATTGTCTATAAAAAAAAAAACAAAAAAAGAAGATATCCCCACCTTCTTTCACCGACGTCCATTGAAGAAAATAAATTGTGGAAAAGACAGAGCGTAGAACAAAATAGAGTAAAATGATGTATGTTCCGGTCAGTTCTTGTGTGTTGTGGACAAAGATAATATTTTAGAAATTACATAATGCAATAATTTTTTTCCATCGATCGCAAAAGTAACTTGTTGACGAATTTTAATTACATCCCTATCTTCTTAACATCATATTCTAAATATATATGCATCATAATTATATTATCCATTCAACATATTAATATATTAGCCATAAACAATGAAAGACTTGCAAGCTTCCATTAGTTCAATTAGATTCACTAAATTTATCCTAATTGTTGAATCCAATAGTTGTGCGAATGATATGTAGCATGAAATAACAAAATGGTTTACATTATTTTTTGAGGCAATTTTAGATTTTATTATATTTTTGTAGAAGTTACGATAGTACTCACTTAACAATGTTAATTTTTATAATATAATTTATTCGATTGCTCTATGAAATTATATTTGAAACCAATAAGCTAAAGAGTATCATATTTTATCCAAATTTGAAAATGTTGAACTAAACTAATTTACCCTTAAATTTAGTATCAACCTCCTTAAAGTATGGACAGTTGAAAAAGTCTTCAAATTAAATTATATCTATTATTTTTTTAATTATTTAAATCCCTGAAAAAATATATAGTATATTTATTCAGTCAAATTCTACATAAAAAAAAAAAAGTAGGAAAACAAGTAATTTACTTACTCAATATTTGCGTTGGAGCGACACCATAATAATATATTCTGTAAACCATATTACATTGAAATAAACAACATATTTTATAACAGTATATCATTTGCCTCTTCACGTGACGACTATTGGACAAATGTATCTTTTTTTAAGTTTCAACGCATACAAGTCATATTGTAGATACGCGCATAGACGAAAATTTTCCGTGCAAAAAAAAAAAAGCAAAAAAAAAACAAAAAGTGTTCGTCAAATATGCAATACATTCACTATTGCTGCAATAAAAATGGGTACAAAAATGGCAGTAAAATTGACCCCAATAATAGAAGAACATATTCAGAGAGGATGTTGCCGCTTAGTCATATATAAACATAATATATATAACATAGTCCATTATTTAAACCTGATCAATACATCATAACTATGCAATATATAAATCATAAAATGAAATATATCATAACTATACGTGCAACATCCCTATCTGCAACTTACATCATTTATATCAGATGTATATATCATGTCTATTGAAGTTATATATCATATTTAGAAACATAATGGTGAAAAATATATCTAACATAGTCCATCATTTAAATCTGATCAATATTTTATAACTATGCAATATATAAATCATAAATATGAACGATAATATAAAATAAAAGTGTGTACAATAAGGTTTACTATCGTCAGTCTATCATAAGTTAAACAACATATGTATCATGAATATACATCCTATGTGTCCGCAGACCAGCAAAAAGACTTTTAGGAACAACTGTGCTGATTTTTATTTTTTTTTCTAAAAGAGACTAATCAAGAATGCATATATACACATAATCACCATAAAAAAATTATGCAGTATTGAAATTACAACCACCAAATTTGTTCGTCGCCAATCAGCCTTTCCTCTCTCCCTCCCCTAGCACGATAGGGGAATCGAGAGCGGAGGTGGCAAACATGTTTGACGGCGGTTGGCGCGGATAGAGATGTCGTCGTCAACTACGGAGGTGTAAATAGAAGGGGAATCGAGGGCGGAGGCAGCTAGCATGTTAGACGACGTTGGTCGCGGCTAGAGATGTCTTCGGTGGTGGTTGTCAACTGCAGAGGTATAAATATAAGGGAAATCGAGGGTGGACGTGGCTAACGTGTTTGACGGCGGTAGGCACGCTAGAGATGTCATCATCGGTGGTCGCGGAATGTGTGGTTGACGTAGGCAAGACAATGAGAGGAGGAAGGAAGTCACTGCATGGTAAAATTAGGGTTGGTAAATAAATTTTGGGTGGTAAGTAAATCTTCTTATTTAGGAAACATACAGTTCAATTTATCCCGTATAATTAATAATTTGCGAGTTAAGAGAATACATCATAATACATTTATTTTGACATCATTTGAGTAGATTATATATGAAGGGCATTTCACGATAAAACGTCATAATAATATTATAGAAACATAATTTGTGATACTCTATGCATCATTCTATTTTGAATGTGTACATTTCGGAAATTAATTATTTGCAAATATTTTTTATTTTATTTAGGATTAACTTAATCCTGAATATATCGGAAGTAGTTGATATAATTTTTTCTAATTGATTTTTCCTTATATAAAGATCCTTAATTATTTTTTTAAATTACCAAACACTCCTCAATTAAACTCAACCGTTGGATTTTCAATCAAAAAAATCCAACCGGTTAAAAATAAAATCAGAATTCTTGTGAATTTTGTATCGCATGAAAAGGATACCAAAATTCTTAGAAAACATGTGCACACATAACCAATATCACGTGAATTTCATGTAACTTCTTAAACACAATAAAATCTACCATTTATTTTTTTGACACATACACATATATATATATATATAAATATATATATATCTTAAGACTATGAAAATATACTATCTATCAATTTGCTTTTGAAGTGTAGAACTTTGAATATTTATATTGTATTCATACATAGTACAAATTAAATGAAAAAAAATATTTACATTAGTGTTGTATAATACAAATGTAATGACATTTGTATAAAATATTAAAAAATATAATGATATTTCTAAAGTTAAATACAATAACGTAAAAAAACAAATGAATGTTTTGTTAAGAGATGGAAGTAATATTTTATTATATGAAAATACATGTATTAATAAGACATTAAGACATTATATAATTTTTTTTATTTAATTTGCACGGTTTTTCTTTATAGAATCGCCGTTGCCGACGTGTACATGACCGGCGCAGATGTGTACCACGATGTGTCATTTTTCCGGCGGCTGACGTGGAATTTGTTTAAAAAATAAAATAAATTAAATTAATATTACTTTTTTTTTTAATCTATTTTGGCCCGATTTGACCAAAATGCAAAACACATATTTAAAATTTGGTCCAATTGAACCAAATTACAAATAACACAAAATTAAAAACATTACAAAAATATGTTATTTGCAATTTGGTTCAATTTTACCAAATTGCAAATATGTTATTTGCATTTTGGTCCAATCGGGCCAAATTAGAAAAAAAATTAATTGTAATTTAATTTATTTTATTTTTTAAACAAATTCCACGTCAGCCGCCGGGAAAATGACACGTCGTGGTACACGTCTGCGCCGGCCATGTACACATCGGCAATGACGATTCCACGTCTGCGCACGTGCCCGGCATGTGACGTTTTCCGGTACCGGAGGACATAAATAAGGCATTCGTAACACTTACTATTCTATTTTGCGAAACCGAAAAAAGGTGTCTAAAAATAATAATTTGGGATACATAATGGTAATTTTTACAATTTTTCCTTCAATATATATAACTAACAAAATACCTCTAACTTTTATGAAAATATTCATTTCGTTTTTATTTGTAAAGACAAAAATATAAAAATTATCTTAAATATTTCTACTAACCACTACAATAATATTATTATTTTATCTACTACAATAAACTAATGATATATTGAGTTAGGATCGAGAGAATATAATTTTTTTATTCATAAAATATGGTATCAAAGTACTACTTAAACTAAAATTTAAATAAAAAATTAAAATTTAAACATAAACCAAACTAACCTAAAGGTACTCCAAGGTAGGTTTAATTATATACAATTATATAATAAATATAAATTTAGTTATATATCAATTT